TTTACTTTTTCCCTTAAAATAGGTTACCAGGTTATAATTAATCCAAATATAAATAAAATCCCTATAATAACCAAGGGTTAATATGCAAAATAGCCCAAACCAGCAGAACGGCCCGGAAATGCCTTGTGGCCCCTTCCACCCTGGCTGGGCCCCGCCCCCCCAGGGGGGCACCCCCCACTCCTATTGGGGGGGCAGAACCCGGCCAGCAAAACTGCCCATGGCCCCCTCCCCCCCAGCCTGGCCCCACCCCCGATTGGCCCTCCGCCCCTCCGCCCCAGCCAACCCTCCTCCAATGGCCCCCATCGAGGCTGGCTGGCTGGGCCCCCGCCAGTGCATGAATTCATGCACTGGGCCTCTAGTCTAAAAGCCTAATATGCAATGTGTCCCCTCGGGAGTTTGACCAACTGGGAGTTTGATCGCTTGCTATGATGTGCGCTGACCCCCAGGGGGTGGTGAGGAACAAAGGAAGGTCCTGGCTGTCAGCCGGCAGCTGCTGAATATCGTATACTGGGCCTCTAGTAGTCTTATGTTTGTTGACTTGTTTAATGCTGTGTCTCCCTCATGAGAGTGCAAGTCTATGAAGGCAGGGGCCAATGTCTATTCACTTAATGCTTAGCATGGCATCTGGCACAGAGTAGGCATTCAGCAAATTCTAGTTGAAGTAATATGATAATACTTCATTAATTTAATAAATATAAATTAATTAGCTAGCTTCCTAATTGCTAGGCATATCGATTTTCTGATTTTTCTAAGTGAAATTGTTTGACTCAAGGGTTTTTTCTCTTACAGCATCCTCTCTTCCCAAGGAGTCTTTGACTTATGAAGCTAATCAAGAATTTTGAAGCTAGCAGTTTATGGGAAAGCTGAGTTTTCCTTAGGTAGACATGTGATTTGGGAATAGAAGGGCCCATGAAATGGAAAGGTCTGAGGGCCTAGCTTCTAGTTCCTGTCTGGCCTCCAGCATGAGGTATGACTTCTGGCAGTGTGGTCTTTGGGATCTTCAGTAGAACCCTGAGTCTCTGAGAGGGCAAACATACTATACTTTTAGGACCTGGAGCAAGAAGACACGAATGGAAAACTCTGCGTTATTACTAATATTTTCTTCTTCAGTCACTGAGTAAATACCTACTGAGTGAATAATACATAATAGACAGACACTAGAAATTTTTTTAAAGGTGAGGAATATTTATGCTTTTATTTGGTTGAATGACAGATGTTTTTCATTGTTAGAGAATTTAATATCCCTCTCATACTTGATAGAATTAATGGACAAAAATATAGATTTGTGTTATAGTGTAAATCATTTGACCTGGTTGAGGTCACTATATCCAGTCACTACATGGGACACTATATCCAGTTACTACACAATACACGTTCTTTTTAGTGCACAGGGAATAGTCACAAAGATCTACAATTTTCTGGAACATCAAATAATTCCCAGTACATTTCAAAGAATTGAAATAATATACACTATGTTCTCTGATAACAAAGGAATTAAATAAGACAGCAGTAACGATTAAATATCCATAAAATTGCTAACTACTTTGTTATTTTTATTGAATTTATTGGGGTGATATTGGTTAATAAAATTATATAGGTTTCAGGTGTACAATTCTATAATACATCATTTGTGTGTTCTGTGTTCACCACCCCAAGTCAAGTCTCCTTCTATCATCAGTTTGAATGATAGAATTTAAAAATAAAATCTTGAGCATCATTTGGAAACTTATTTTCCTCAGGTAAAAGGATACAGAAATTTCATAGCAAAATAAGTATTTATATACTATATATAAGTTATTTGCTCTTTGTTTAAGGCCTTGGGGTTATTTATATACCTGGAAAGCTTAAATTCTTTTATTATTGAATTTATTATACATAGTTACGAAAATGAATGGTATTTATTTCTGTACCACCTTTTTGAGATAGTGTCAGAATTTCCTTCATTTTATAGCTGGAAATACTGAGGTTTAAAGAAGTTAGCTAATAATGTAGGTCCTATAACACTTCAGTAACCGGACTGGAAAGAGGATATTTGTTTGTTAGCTCCCAAGGGAATGCTACAGGTGAAATTGTTCATGGACTGCCACCCAGTTTTCTTGGACCAGACTTTAGTTTTCCAGAACATGGACTTACATTGATGACATAGGTTGAACATAAGAGAATTTGAGCAATTCCATTCGTCATTGCTTTCATAAGAGTTAATGATGTGGCAATCAGTAGCATTGTTTGCATGGGCTTTTTGTGTGTGTTTCTAAGGAAAGTCTGCTAATAGATCATTTTGTTCTGTTTTTCAGAATTTGGTTTTACAAAGTAGTTGTTTACATTCATTAAATTGACTCAGCAAGTTAAGCAAATTGTACAGGTTAAATTTCAAACAGCAAGTCAACTTCAGTCAGTTAATTCATTACTTAAGGAAATTAAGTGACTGCCTGTCTATAAGTATAGATTTAGAGTCTTTAAAATTCATTTGGAATATTTGCTTTAAACACCTGTAAATAAATTCAATAATATTCTAAGTCTGATAAGAGAGTATGAAGTTTTCTGTAGATGGGCAGTTTCTAGAAGTCTGTATGCTTGTGAACATATTACATAATACTGAAATGTTAACTATGGAGTAGACAATTCCTGCTCAGTAGGGATCAACAGCTTATAAATATGATTGACAGGTGTGCCAATTGATGGATTCTAGTTACCCTAAAAAACATTGGGGCAAAATGCATTTTATGTCCTCAGTTATAAGTTATATTAATGTCTTTTTTTAACCTTACGACATTCTTTAATTTTACATTTCCACTTTTCTCAACATGTTAACTTGAAAAATTTCAAACCCATAGAACAGTTGCAAAAAGAGCACCATAATCACCTTTATATTCTTTACATAGTCAGCATTTGTTAACATTTCGATACATTTACTTTATCTCTGTTATGTGAGCACTAGAGGCCCAGTGCAGGAAATTCGTGCACTGGGGTGTGTGTGTGTGTGTGTGTGTGTGTGTGTGTGTGTGTCCCTTAGCCTGGCCTATACTCTCTTGCAGTCCGGGACCACTTGCTCCTTATCACCCGCCTGCTCGTTGCTCCTTACTGCTTGGCTCGCTTCTCTTTAGCACTGCTGTGGAGGCGGGAGAGGCTCCTGCTACCACCGCTGTGCTCGCCAGCCGTGAGCCCGGCTCTGGCTGAGTGGTGCTTCCCCTGTGGGAGCGCGCTGATCACCAGGGGGCAGTTCCTGCATTGAGTGTCTGTCTCCTGGTGGTCAATGTGCGACATAGCGACCGGTTCTGCCGGTCATTCCACCGTTCAGTCATTTTGCATATTAGGCTTTTATTATATAGGATGTTTTCTCTTTCCCTCCCTCTCTCCCTTCTCATTCTCCTATGTAAATATAATACCATTATCATATGCAGGGAATTGAGCACTGATATAATTACTATTATTAAAGTACAACCTATATGCCTGGCTGCGGTGGCTCAGTGGGTTCAGTGTTGACTTATGAAGCAGGAGGTTATGACTCGATTCCCGGTCAGGGCACATGCCTGGATTGTGGGTTTGATCCCCAGTGTGGGGTGTGCAGGAGGCAACCGATCAATGATTCTCATCATTGATGTTTCTATCTCTTTCTCCCTCTCCCTTCCTCTCTGAAATCAATAAAAATATATTTAAAAAAATATATAGTCTCTATTCACATTTCTCTAGTTGTCCCAATAATGTTTGTTTTAGCTGTATATATTTTTAAATCGAACCTGGGACTCTTCAGTCCGCAGGCCGATGCTCTATCCACTAAGCCAAACCAGCTAGGGCTAGCTGTTTTTTAAAAACCAATTTAGTATCCAGTCAAGAATCACACATTGTGTTTTGTTGTCATGTTTCTTTAATCTTCTTTACTCTAAAAATAGTTTTCTAGCCTTTTTTTGCGTGATATTGGTATTGTGACAAATGACATTGATGTTTAAAACTTTTAGAAATATATATATTTTTATTGATTTTAGAGAGGGAGAGAGAAACAGAAACATCAATGATGAGAGAGAATCATTAATCATTGATCAGCTGCCTCCTGCACGCCCCACACTGGCGATGAAGCCTGCACCCCAGGCATGTGCCCTAACTGGAAATTGAACTGTGACCTCCTGGTTTATAGGTTGCTGCTCAACCATTGAGCCACACCGGCCTATTGTTTTGAAGTCTATTCCTCAGTTTGGATTTGTTTAAATATATCTTCATGGCTAGATTCAACTTAAACAATTTTTGACAGGATTGCTATAGGGATGTGTCTTTCTCAGTGTATCACATCATCGTTATTGGTGCTGTTAAATAGGACAGCTTGGTTAAGTTGATGTTTGTTAAATCTCACTATATCCTCTTCCCTACAACTTGCCACTTAGTGGTGGTTACAATAACTTCTTCAGAAAAAAAAAAAGCCTTAAAAATTTTTCTCGGTACATAGTTCATTTAGGACTTCATAAAAGGTAGATATTATACACTCATTGACAATTTATTGAATAAAAGAATGCTTAACATTTATTAGCATTTACTCTGTTAGTTGAGTTTAAAAACATTATCTTACTAGTAAAAGAATTGAGTAAATCAGCTTCTGCCAGCCAGAGTCTGCAGGAATACAGTATCTGTTTAAGCATCCGTTGTGCTACTGGTACCAAAACCAGAGGTTCGTTAAAAAAAAACATGAGAGAGGGTTTCTGCCCTTTGGATATTGGTTCTAGAATAGGCTGATGATGTTTTTGGATTCTTGCATTACAATATTGATTTGGGTAATGAGGCAATAACTTGAAAGAGCCAAGAACAGATTTCCCAGGGCATAGACTATTTTGCATAACAGGAGGGGCCATGATTTGGAAATGAAGTTGTAACAGTGGCACCTGGGATGGATCCATTACCCTTGAGGGAAAATAACTGGTATTTTTCCCCAGTCCAGTTTGTTCCAGGCAGGGATGTATTAGTTGCTGTGTATTTTAGGGCACACAGGGATTAGTAACTCAATTTCAAGCAAAGATAGGGCTGACTTCCTGACTGAGTAGGCAATGATGACATATGATTTGATTTGTCATTTTCAATTTTAAAAGAACCATATCACATATACTGATTATGCATTGTCCTTCCTGTGTTCCATTCCTTTTAAATCTGATATTCTTTGTGACCTCAGTGCAGTAGTGGTCATTTGGGCCAAGCAGCACTTTGTGAAATCTCAGCTATTTGTTGAATGACTAGTAGCATTTGGTAAGCTTCACATGCTCATTTGATTACTGTGCCGATGACCAAGGCCTAAGTCAGATCCTTGTGTTAACTGCCGACTAGTTTTACTTATTGACTGGGGAAATCACCCATTTGTTTGACCCATGTTTTTGAAATTTTGTATCATGATTTTCATTATATAGCCTCACTCCTGGCTTAAGAACTTACAGTAGTTTTTGTTGCACATTATATTATGTCAAGCCCAAACTCCTTCCTGAAGTTTTAGGATTCTGCATGACTGGTTTTCATTTGTATAGTCCAGTCTTACTTTTCACAATTCCATAATTATTGTCTACTTCAGTTAAGCTTACTACTGTGTGACCTTAAGCAAGTTTTAAAATCTTTGAGCCTCAGTTGAATCTATAAAGAAGAAATAATAGCTCCTATATTACAGGGTTTTTAATGAGAATTAAGTGAAATAACATTTGTATTTTTAAAATAATAGCCTCCATTTAGGGAGATCTTAATAAGTACCAGAAGTATGCTATACTTCTAAAATTTGTTGTCTCTTTGCATCCTTATCATAGCTTTATGGGGTAGGATGAAGTTGTGGTGGTGGTGGTGGTAGTAGCACAGGTAGCGGTGATAATAGATGGCATAAGGTACCTCTGTTCCAGGTACTTTACATATTTCTATTTAGTCCTGTTAAACAATCTTATGAGGTTGGTACTATAATTGCTATTTTATAGATGAGGGAATTTAAGCACAGAGGTTCAATAACGTGCCTAAGTTTGTAATGTACATAGTAAATGTACAGTGGAACTGCACTTTTAGGTATCAGTTTATCCCCCCCCCCCTTTTTTTTGGTCTATTTGTTTTAGATGAGGAAGCTTAGAGGGGTTGATTAACTCACTAAAACTCATATACCTTATAAGTAGCTGGGCCATAATATGAACCCAGATTTGTCTGATTTTAAAACTGTGTTTATAATTATTATACTAGACTTTCTTTAGATTATCAAAAACAATAAATACTTTCTATTGTATCATAGAATGGATCAATTTAATGCAAGTCACATTGCTGTGCTCATTCATAAATGAAAGATGACTTTTTGCCTTGACTGTTACACAAGGGTGCCAGGCTTTTGACCTCTGCTTGACACATGAACTGTAGAAATTGAACATCTTTGTTGTAGTTTTGTCGATATCTGTCAAGATTTCTGACATTGCTGGAATTCCCAGTGGTGATGCTAGTGTTAAGGATCCCATTTCTGGTGATTCAGCAGGAGGACTTGGGCTGCCCAAGATGTCAATAGCTGATGGAAGGCAGATGGTACTGGGAAGAGGCCGTGGCTGTGGGATGAGAAGCACTGTTTCTCCAGATGATTTTAGCACCCTCATACTGTTTATTGATCCCACCCCCAGTGTTCTTCCTGTAACTAACTTCCCCCTGATGTTTGATTTCTCTTAACTTTTGCCTACATAGACTAGGGATAAGAGTATTTTAATCACCTACCTAGTGATGGATATGTGGTATACAGTGGCTGTAAAAAGGAAAGTATGCTCTAAAATTGTCCATTATCAGCTAAACCAGGGCATTTCTCCAAAAAGTTGTAGTCCCTAAATTCCTGAACTGGACTACTGAATTTTTAAAAAAATAATTAATTTTTTAAATCCTTACCCTAGGATATTTTTTCCATTGATTTTTTTTTTTTTTTTTTAGAGTGAAAGGGAGGAGGGAATGGGAAGGGAGGGAGGGAAGAAGGGAGGAACATCAGTGTGAGAGAGATACATCTACTGGTTGCCTCCTGCACCCAACTGAGACTGGGGATCCAACCTGCAACTGAGATACATACCCTTGACCGGGAATTGAACCTGCGACCCTTTGGTCCTTGGGCCAATGCTCTAACCACTGAGTCATACCCGCCAGGGCTGGACTATGGAATTTTGACAGAGGAATTATTACATAGATATTTAATTCACACAAAATGATTTGAACCCAGACTATGATAATTAACTTTTCTTTTGCAGGAAGGATGCCAATTCTGCGCTGCTCAGTAACTATGAGGTAAATAGCTTTGAAGTATTTTCCTCTTTGATAGTTTTGTTCTTTGCTTTTGAAGATTATTGAATTAACTGTAGTTAGAAATGACTGAATTAATTTGGATTTTCCACTTTAAAATATGACAGATGGCACTATCTGGTGGACCTTGTAATATCCCAAGCTTGGTAAATTACATTAATTCAGGAAAACTGGGAAGACTTTAGTGTACAGTAGTCAATCTTCCCCAAATCTGAAAATTTTAGATCTTTATATGGAAGGCTTCATGAAGAGTGGAAGCATCTATTTTGGAACTCTTTCTAAAATCAGCAAAAGCTTCTATTAAAATATGTATGCTTTTTCTTAATTACCACTCTTTACTTATAAAATACTTCTATGTCATTATTTTGATCCTCACAATAGTCTCATTAAAATCTTCATTTTGAAAGTGAGAGCTTAGTTGACTCACCATTATCATTAATGCTTTAGTAAGAACTAACAGATTGGGGATTTTGGGGCTGAAGGGTTGGGTTGTTGGGGAAAGAGAGGAAAGAAGGAAAGAAGTTGGTGACGGGGGGTGGGGGGAGGA